CCTTCCCTTCCCTTCCCTTCCCTTCCCTGACATCTTTCCCTTCCCTTCCCTGACATCTTACATCTTTCCTTTCCCTGACGTCTTTCCCTTCCCTGCCCTTCCCTGACATCTTTCCCTTCCCCGAGGGAAAGGTGCCCCGTGTAAAATAAAGCTGTATCCCGCTGAGAATTCCATCTGTGCCTCGGTGCCTCATCCATCCACTCGTGTCCTCCATCCGCGCCACTTGCTCTCTCCAACATTTTAACCTATCAGTAAGACCATGACTCAAAAAAGAAAATGTGTGTTGGGGGTTTGGGGGATATGAAAGTTTTATAAGTGGAAACCAGCATTAGGGTAGGAAAACCTGAACTGCAGTTGATTAATTATTAAAAGCTCAATGGGGACAAATTTGGCAAAGGTTAGTTAATAGTAACTTTTTATGGGCCATAAATCACACCTTCACAAGTTTAATGGAGAAGAATTAACACAATGTCTACTCTCAGACCGTAGTGGAATTAAAGTACACATTGATAACAAAGATATCTATAAAATCCTCACTATTTAAGGACTAAACTTGTAAATAACACACAAGTCAAAGAAGAAATTTCATCCCAGCATACAAATGGGGAAATGGGGAAGATGCCCCAACCTCAGCTGAGTTGCTATTGGCAAGTTATAACTCCTGGGAGAGGGAGAGTTGGTTTTCTTTAAGGATGTGATGCTGGGTAGGTTAACCAGGCTCCAGTGGATGAACCCACACCAAAGGACATTTCGGGAAACTTGACTCAATAGGCCTTAATATATATGACAGAGTACATGAAATCCAGTGGAAGGTGGGACACATACGGGAGCAGGTATAAATATAACCAAAATATATTGTAGGAAATTCATGAAAATGCAATAAAAAGAAGAAATTTCAAGAGAAATAAAAAGTTAAACTTTATTTATTTATTTATTTATTTATTTATTTATTTATTTATTTAATAATTTATTGAGAATTTCATACAGGGATATAATTATATAAGGTGTTTTGATCACATCCACGCCCACTCCCTCTCCTCCAACTCCTCCCATATCTCCCCATAACTTTTTTCTGATAACTTCATGTACTCCTTCTTCTTCTTTTTTGGGGGGGCTTTTTGCTACTCTAACAGTCCCCCCTCTAAAGAGGTAGCCCTAAAATCTTCTCTTTTTTTTGTCTTTTTGAGACAGGGTCTCCCTGTAGCTCCAGCTGACCTGGAACTCACTATGTAGACCAGGCTGGCCTCAAACTCACAGAGGTCCGCCTGTCTCTGCCTCCCAAGTGCTGGGATTAAGGGCGTGTGTCACCACGCCCAGCTTCTAAAATCTTTTAATGATTAGATAAGAGCTCTCAAATACTTTCAACATGTTTGGCCTTTGGAACAGAGTAGGCTGCTAAGAGGCCCAAGGACATTTTCACTTTTAGCCAAGAAGCTGGCTACTTTTCTTTGGGGTCTCTTTATACTAACTGCCTAGCCAATTCCTCCTAGTCTTATCACACCATCCTCTTAAGAGGTTACCTAGCTTTCAGATAGGGAATCAGGATGCAGACTGCTCTGGCTTCTTCCATGCTGAACAGGGACACAGGGTGAGGAAATTGGGGTACCCCTTCCCTGGGTCTATCTAAAAGACTCCCAAATTCTGTAGGGGAAAAAAGAAAGTCCTTGACTGGTGAATAGGAGATGTGAAGGAGAAGTAAAGGCAAGAGTAATTAACATTACAAGTTCCAGACAGGGAATTAGAAAAAAGAACAGGACAAATTTCAGATGTTTATATGAGGGGCCATTGGAATTTCTTGACAAGAGCTTCCAAAAGCATCCCTCTATTGGGTTCCTCCTCATTTTTCTTTTATCTGCCATGGCTGGACTCAAGAGTGATGGATTTAGGATTTGCTTTCAGGCATTTTGATAGTTGTTGGAGTGGTTAGAGTCAGTGTCAGTTCCCTCTCAAAGGCTTCTAGGTGGGGGAGAAAACAAATTTGGCCATAATTTTAGAACAATTATGGGTTGTCTCCCTTAGCTACAGGCGGGCACTGCAGTATTGCAGAACAAGATTTGAAGTCTTACATCTGAGGAGCATTTTCTGATTCAGAACAAAATCATCAATGAGAGATAATTGTCTAAATAACTTTTTATATGGACTTAAGCCTAATGTTTGAGAAGTGTAATCCCTTGAACTCTTAAAGAAATATACTGATCGCTTTACTCTTTGGTTATACTTTCCTTTTGGGTATTTAAGACCATACAGTTGGCACAAATGCACAAATAAATCAATTTATATTTACACTTCAGGTTGTTTGAGGATCTGTTCTTCAGGGGTCACATAGGCTTGGGAGGAGCCCCTGGCTCCTTTCTCTTACCAGTTCCATCTATGTGAAGATAGGTTAAAGGCCCTGCTCAATCCTGGCTGGCTTCACTTGGAAGCATGGAGGAAATGTTTCCTCTGAGTCGACCCTCCTCTTTTAGACCGGACACTGGTTCAAGTCCTCTTGTTCAGGTCTCCATGGCCTCCCTGAACAAGAGGACAGGTGACTCACTGCAGTTATAGGACGTTTTGAGAGATGTTCCATAGTCCCCTGGAACTTAGTTGACCTGGGAGGGCAGGGAGCAAAAACTGTCCTTTAAGTCCCTCTGACCAGATTAGTATAGGCCTTGTGTCCTAAGGGGTATTTGTTCCTCTGAGGGGCAGGGCCTGCTGAGGAGAATTGGCTGCAGAGAGTTAGCTATAGAGAGGGAGCTGTGGAGAGTTAGCAGCAGAGGGAGGAGACTTGGCACCAGCTTGGCAGCAGCAGTGCATAAAAAAATGGCCCAGGTGTCTCTCCTGCATGGACACGAGAGGCGACATTTACTGACCTGGGGAGAGACCACAGGCCCATGAGGCAGTGTGGACGAAAGCTAACAGAGACTGTGGGCAGGGTGTGGAAGCAATCTGGAATGGCAGGCTGCTGAGCCACAGAGCAGACTGGGGCACTGGGTGTTCATCTTTTGGGGGGTGCCGGGTGTTCGCCTTTGTAAGTTGCTCTATTTCCCCTACCCAGGCTATAAACTATGAAAAAGTCAGATAAAGATATCTTATATGGTTTGTCTAATAGCACCAGGAGCAAGGGACCCTAACAGAACTCGGCTGACAGGCCTCAAAGTATGGCTGTTAAACATCCAATAAGGTTAGTTATAGACAGAAAAAATGAGAAAGCCTAAGCTTGTTATGATATATAAAGGATGAGACAAAATAATATACACATAATTTTAAAATTTCTAAGGTCATAATTTAGTCAGCTAGTTTAAGGAACAAAATATGTATCTCATTAAGGTTTATCTGAGAACATTTGGTTTTTTTACCCAAGCTTTATCTACATAGCACACAGTAATTAAAAGTACCAGACTGGTGGAACTGACCTTATTTATTTATTTTTATTTGTATGAGTGTTTTGCCTGCATGTATGTAAGTGCACCCATGTTGTGCAATGTCTGTAGAGGTCAGAAGAGGGTGTCGGATCCCCTGGAACTGAAGTTAAGACAGTGGTTAGGCACCATGTGGGCCCTGGGAACCAAACCCAGGTCCTCTGCAAGAGCAGCCAGTGCTCCTGACCACTCACCAATCGCTCCAGCTCCCAATAAAAAATATTTTAACCAAACAGAAATGAAACTACAACTTGTCAAAATGTGCAGGATGCAACTAGAGTAGTGCCTAGAAGGAAGTTTGTAGCACTGAATGAAAATATTAGACAGAAGTAACATGTAAAAGCAATAATCTAAGCTTAACCATTGGACATTAAACAGAGAAGAGGAAATTAAATGAAAACTAGATAGATAAAAATAAATAGCAAAAATTGGAGCAGAAGCAATAGCATTTAAGTAGGAAATCAGAGAAAAATCAACAAAATCAAATGTGAGTTCATTGAAAAGATCAGTAAAATCAATAAGCCTTGTGCAAAGCTAAGTAAAAAGAGAGCATGAATTAGTAATGTCACAAATGAGAGGCATCAACCAACTCTATGTCCTTAAATTTAACACCCTGGACAAAAATTGGTCAACTCCTTGAAAGACACAGCTAGTCAAAACTCATACAAAGAGAAATGGATGATCTGAACAACCTATATCTATTAAAGGAATTGAATCACTAATTAATAACCTTCCTAAAGAAAAAACCTCAAGCTCAATTTTCTTCATTGGTAAATGCTACAAAGTACTTAAGGAAAAAAATGTACTAGTTCTCTACTATCTCTTCTAGATGATAGAAACCAGAGGGAATATTTCCCAACTCATTCTGTGAGGCTAAAATTATCATAATACTAAAATCAAAGTCAAATTCAACAATGTATAAAAAGAATTATACATCACAGTGAAGTTAAGGTTCATGGCAGGTATAAAAGACTAGTTCAGCATTCAAAAATCAATTAATGAAAATGTCAATGTCCATTTGCAATAAGACCCCTAGCAAACTAGAAATAGAAGGGACACCTTCAATTTCATTAAGAGCAACTATAGCCCCAGTGTAATGCACATCTGTAATCCCAGCACTCTAAACACCAAGGCTGGAGGATATTGAGTTCAAGGAAAGCCTGAGCTACATAGCTAGACCCTGATCTCAGAAAATAAGCAAACAACTCAAAGAAAAATATCTACAAAATATCTACAGGCAGTGTCATACTTAATGATGAGACTCTAGAAGCTTTCCCACTAAGATCAGGAACAAGGCAAGGATGTCCTCTCTGTTTTTCAGCCTCCTGCAGGAAAGCACAGTTAAGCAATGAGAAACAAAGGTGAACAGAAAAGGAAGAAGCAAACTCTGCTCATGGATCACAGGATCATCTCAGTAGAAAATCTGAGGAATCAACAAATGTGGGCAACTAATAAGCAATTACAGCAAGGTTGTAGGACATATACAAAAGGTAATTGCAATGAGTAGAACTTGAAACTAAAGACACATTACTATGGTGTTTTCTTCAGTTTCACATAAACTAGTTGAAACAATGCAGGGAAGATTAGTATGGTCCCTGCACAAGGGTGACAGGCGGAATTGTAAAATGTTCCATATTTTGGTATATATTTACCTTATATTCATCAAGTTGTACATGTACAACTTATTATATATCAATTATACATCCATAAATTTTTTAAAAAGCATGTTATCATTCAGTTCCCAAAGCATTAACTACTTGAATATAAATTTGACATGATCTGTACAATATCTATATGAGGGAAACTATAAACCTATGATGAAACAAATAATAGAGGAGATTTTCTATGTTCACAAACAGGAAGATTCAATATTGTCAAGATGCCATTTCTTCCCCATATGATCTATAGAGTCTATGCAATTCCAATAAAAATCTCAGTAATTTTATGGACATCAACGAACTAATTGTGAAGCTTTATATATGGAGATACAGAAGACTCAGAAAAATCAACTCAATATTGAAGGAGATGAACAAGTTGGAGCACTGACACTATCCAATCCCACAAAAATCACATATAAAGCTGCAGTAATCAAGACCGTGTTGTTAGTGAATGAATAGACAGATAGATCAACAGAGTGCAGAAATAGGCCTACTTGAATATCGTCAGCTGCTCTAGATGAAATGAACACAGGCAACACAATGAGCAAAGAATCTTTTCAACAAATCATACTGAAACAAGAGGACATCTAATGCCAGAAAAATGAATCTAAACATAGACCTTGCACAAAAATTAATTCACAATGCTTCACAGATCTAAATACAAAACCATATAACTCCTAGAAAGTAATACAGTTCAAAATCTAGATGGCCTTATACACAGCAGTGATTATTTCCCTTTGATCATGAGTTTATTTATAATGTTGAAAGCCTTCTTCATTTAGGTCTTTACTGGGTTTTTCTTAATTAACAAACTTTAGCCAGATATAGTGGCTCATGCCTGTAATCCTGGTACTCAAGAGGCAGATCTCAGAAGATTGCCACAAATTGGAGACCAGTCTGGTTTACATAGCAAATTCCAGGTCAGCCAGCCTGAATTACCTAGTGAGATCCTGTCTCAAAAATCCAACCAACCAACCAACCAACCAATCAACGAACCAACCAAACTTTTTGTTTTCAGAGAACTTTCAGATTCATAGAAAAATCAAGCAGCAAGTTCAGACTCCCCATACAAACTCTGTTCCCACATATGCTGAATATCCCTTACTATCAACATCCCACACCAGAGTTGTACTTTTTAAGATAGATCTCATTTACTATGTAACCCCAGCTGGCCTAGAATTGTTGTGTAAACTAAGCTGGCCTTGAACTCAGAGAGATCTGCCTACCACTGCCTCTGCCTCCTGAGAGCTAGGATTAAAGGCATGTGTCATCATGCCCAGACAGAGGTGTACAGTTGTTACAATCAGTGAACCTACACTGCAATGACTTTTTAGATTTCGTACCAAAATCACGTTCCATGAAAAAAATAATTGATGAGTTAGATTCATTAAAAGCAAAATTTTTAGACTGGGGATATGACTCAGCATGCAGGAAGCCCTAAGCTTGAACTCAAGCGCTACAAAAAGGAGAAAAAAGAGAAGTTCTGTTCTGCTAAGAACACTGGTCAAGAGAGTGAAAAGGCAAGCCACAGACTGCAGAAAATATTTAGAAAAGACTACTTTGGTCTTTTTGAGACAGGATCTCTCTGCAGCCTCAACTGGCCTGGAATTCACTAGGTAGATCAGGCTGGCCTTGAACTCACAGAGATCCGCCTGCCTTTGCCTCCTGAGTGCTGGGATTAAAGGCATGTGCCACCATGCCTGGCAGAAAAGACTGATAAAGACTGTTAACCTAAAATATATAAAGTTTCAAAAAATCAACTGTAAGAAAATAAAAAACCTGATATAAAATGGGTAAAAGATCTGAAAAGCAGCTGGCAAGATGGCTCAGCAGGCAAAAGTGCTTGCCATGTAAGCCTGATCACCTAAGTGCAATTTAAGAATCCCATGATGGTATGCATTCATCTGTATACACATAATAATAATAATAATAATAACAATAATGAAAGGCCTGGAAACTTCACAGAAAAGATATATAGATGGCAAATAAGCATATGGGAAAATTTTTAAGCTGGGCACTCAGGTAATCCCAGCACTTGGGAGGTGGAGGCAAGGTGACCAGGAGTTCAAAGTCATCTTTAGCTACATAGTGAATTTGAGGTCAGCCTGCACTACATGAGATCCTGTTTCAAAAACAGATATTCAATATTATATGTCATTAGAGGATTATTTACTAAAACAATAGTGAAATACTGACATCTAACCTCACAATGACCAAAATACAGAACCTGACACAATCAAGTGCTGGTGAAAATACAGAGCAAAAGGTCCCATCATCCACTGATGACAGGAATACGAAATGGTACAGACACTTCAGAAGATGGTTTGATACTTTCTCACAAAACTAAATGTACTCCTAACATATGATCTGACAGTTATGCTCTTTGGTATTTACCCAAATGATTGAAAACTTCTGTTTACATACAGCCTTCGCAAGCATGTCGAGAATAGCTTTGTTCATAATTGCCAAAATTTGGAAGCTACCAAGATATTCATTAGTAGGCAAATGGATAAACTATGCTACCACCTGACAATGGAATATTATTCAGTGATAAAAGAGATTAACTACCCAGTCTGGGCTACAGAGTGAGGCCCTGTCTCAAACAACAACAAAACCCAAACAAACAAAACAAGTGAGCTACCAATCCATGAGAAGACACAGAAGAACCTCAAATGCATATTGCTAAGCAAAACAAGCTAATCTGAAAAGGCTATATGCCATGTAATGTCAACTATATTGTCAGTGTCAGCAGGGAATACAGTCCTGTAGCCTGAGAAGCACTCCTGCTTATCTAACTCCAATCAGGTAAAGTCAGGTCCTTGACTATGCCACAGAAAAGAATTTTGGGTTGAATTGAACTAGAGTGGAGCAAAGTTAGTGAGTTTATTAAGTAAAGAAATAGTACATGCTTTAGATTTAAGAGTGTTCATTGAGAGAGAGAGAGAGAGAGACAGAGACAGAGACAGAGACAGAGACAGAGACAGAGAGAGAGACTGACTTAGGAAAAGGACAACAGAAAAAACCCAGGGCATGGGTGCAGGTTTCTTGAGAGAGAGAGGATAGCACCTTAAGTATCTTAACAATCTAGGATTTTTGTGGCTTTTGAGGTTGCATTGCTCAAATGATGCAATTTATGACCAGATTCAAAGATTAAGCAAACTTTTAAAATTAAGTAAATACAAATGAGCTGTTTCACTTATTTCTTCTCCTGAAGAATTTCCTGTTTGTAAGTGAACTGTCAGGTGGCCTTATGACGCATATTGTTCAGGCTTAGAGATGAGAAAATGCTGATACTGCTAAACTGAAAAGTCACAGCCTTCTGGCCCCAAACAAGCATAGTTTGTTGTCTTTAACATTCTTGTTTGAGATATCTCTTGGAAAGGGGAATATTGTCTCTGCAGATAATCTTTATTTTGTCAGTTGTGTTAATGTTTTTTACTCTCAGCCAGCGGGAAATGTGAATTAGATCTCAAAGTCAAAGGCTTTTTCCTCTTCCCATGTCCCCTTAATTTTCCCTGTCTTTCTATCCTGCCTCAAGATGAAATTTCAGAAAGAGAAAAACTATGGAGTCAGTAAAAAAAGGTCAGTGGTTACGTGGTGTTAACAGAGAGAGAATGAGTGGGTGGCTTGCAGAAGGTGTTTGGGGTAGGTATCCTGTATGATACTGCCAGAGAAGCATGAACCCTAATATAAACTGCAGACTTTGGTGACAATGGGGTGTCATCACTTGTAACAAATGTTCTTCTGTGATGTGTGGTGCCCACAGAAGAGGGGGTACCATGATGTTTTGGGGCAGGATGTGTGTGTGGGTCCATGAGAACCTTAAACTACTATATAAAATAGTATACTTTATAAAAAAACTCCTTGGAAATGCTTTTAAAGGCAAACTGTAATACAGAGCAAGATGCACAGAGGAACACCACATAGTTATGGTCAAATTAGGAGTTCTTTATTAATAGCCAGAGGTCAGAGAGGAGGTAATACCCAAAAGAATTCTCAAACACAAGGAGAAGCAGGACAGGGTTTATGAAGCTTAAAACCACAATTATATCATTCCAGGGGCAAAGCCAACAACCATAGTTACATCAGATTACCATACTAGAATAGGGGCAGGTCAGTTAACAAAAAGGTTTTCAGTTAACAAAAAGTTTCAATTAGACTGGGTGGGAGGACATGCTACTTGGCTACTTGTAAGTTTCCCAGTATTGTAGGAACAATGTACTCCCTGGAACTGCCTGTATGAGACATTCTGCCTGGCTGGCTGCAGGGTGAATGGCTGGGCAAAAACACAGGGTAAAGCAGAAGTCAGCTAGAACAAAACAGAGTTAGTTTTGCCATATCAATACAACAAATGAAAAAAAATCACTTATTCAAGAAAATCTACTACATTTCAGTATAAAAGTGAGTCTCGATATTTGAAACAAGACTTATTCTCTTCCTTTCTCTCTCCTAGTGTAAGGAGACAGAAACCCCACCCCTTGCTGGTCCCAGGAACACAGGAATCCTCTCTTCCAGCTCCCAGTGGGAGGGTATCATTCTGGGAGAAACAAGACAACATTTCTCATTCTGTTCTCCAATCTGTTGCTCAGGCTTAGTTCCAGGTAAATGAAGCTAAGATATGGGAGCCCCCTTTTGACATCAGCTTCCTCATGTGGGATGGAGCACCTATGGTGTGACACCACTGAAAACACTGAAGCCCCTCCAGCCTGGCTCCTGGGACCCAGGTATCAGCTGAGAAGGGGCAAGCCAAGGATATCTGGAGCAATGGTGTTTCCTTCCAATGAGTGCTCAGCTCCTAAAGTGAGAGACGGTTTACTAAGAAACTTGTCTTTGTTCTTGACCCCAGTACAAAACTGTGACTTGGAGATTTTGCCCTGGGAGAAAAGCAGGTTGTAGAACAGAGAGTTCTGAATGACTTCCCAAATGAATTGTCTTCATTTCTAACAGCATGGAGAAGCCCACACCTAACCAATGGAGGTCAG